CTATTGAGGTCACGCAAAAAGGAAAACAGTTACCATGTTTTGAATCACTTATCAAGATACATCGTACATCGAGAACAACTGGTGTTCTTTATATTCTGTATGTGAATAAATAAACTATTTTATTATATATATTTCATAAGAATGTAATTTAAGTTCATAATAAGTTGTCAGACAGAGACCGTATTTTTTGAAAACTACGAAAGAAAACAGAATAACGAACCTATTTATAAATAAAGGTACAGGTATGATCCAGAAACGCTACCGAGGAATTCCGAATGCAAAAACAATGTTAAGTTTTTGGCGGAAATCAACTGTTCAAATTACTGTTTTCTTTATAAACTAATGTAAGATTAAAAAATTTTTTCTATCAGGAATATCCACTTGCCTGATCGGACAAGTATATCGACGGTTTCACTTGCCTGAACTGATGATTTACTTGTCCCTGGTAATCGGACAACCGTTAATGTCGATCCCTGGGATGGCACTATGGATTTCATTATTCACAGAATGATGTATTCCTGTGAAAAGACCTTTCTTTGGGTACCATCAAAGTTTGACCTCTTGACCTTGGAATTTGACCTTCTTTCATAAAAAGATACCACACTTTAACCTTGTCCATAACAGCTAAGGCTTTCATACTTCACATTTGTACTGTGACAAGACCTGTCAGTGGGTATAAATATTTTTGAACTTTTGACCTTGACCTAAGAGTTTGACCCACTTTCTAAAATCTTTATCCTTGGCTATAACTTTTTACCAGTTAGAACTAGGGCTTTCATATTTCATAGTTGTATTCCTTGTAACAAGACCTTCCTTTGGGTATCAATACTTCTGACCTTTTGACTTTGACCTTAGAAGTTTGAGATGCATTTAAGAAAATATAACCCTTGACATAAGTTGCCATAAAGGGGCATCAGTGTATCATAAACACATTTCGTTACCCCATGTTTTCAAAAGATTTTGTTTTCTTTTCAATTTTTTAGTTTATTTCTTTTTACGAAGGGGTGTATGGATGGGGAATTAATTTTTGATTGGTATTAATGGAACCTTTTACTGAATCTACAAGCACCAGATATTTAACATTGATATTCATAATCAATGAAACTTAAATCTTACAAAGTGCTTCTCTTGCAGGTTTTTATGAACAACAGGAAGGGAAGAAAGGGGGTTCAAAGAAAAAGCTCTCTAACTTTTGACAGGTGCTCTACTAATCAATCTGTCTGGCTGACAGTGGAACAAATATTGAACAAATACCATTCAATCATTTGTCTCTTCCACAGATGACATTAACATTAAAATTGAACAATCCAAAATATAATATATACTTGAAACATGTCCATAGGACATGCATGCCCCAGTGGTTAATGAGTGTATATTAGTAATGCATCATGAAATTTTGTATTAATGTATGAAATTTGATGAGAATATCTTGAATAGTTTCTTTATATTTGAGCTAAACACTAATTTAAGAAAACTTAGATCAAGGTCAAAGTTGAGCTAAATGCAAAATTTAGAAGTGAGATCAAGGGAAAGGTCAAGGTCAAAGGAAAGGTCAAGAAAAACAAATATCATTTCAGTTGCATACCAGTAGATCTCATCAATATAGATCTATCAGCATAGGAAGTTTGATAAAATTATCTTGAATAATTTCTTTGAAACTAAGCTTTGAACTGAACTAAATGCAAAGCAGGATGATAGGATAGAATGATGAAGGATGAAAGGACAGAAGAGGAGTAGACGGGCTTTTGTCTACATCTGGATGCAGGCAAAAACCTGTCCACTTCCCTCAATAGAATATTCAGTAGAACACCTGAGAGTAGTGGTCCTATACTGGACCCCCCCTTCCAGGTATCTAAAGAGATGAAAGAAAAAGTGAGCAAGCTCACATACCCCATGCTCCCCCAAAACTCAAAGTGCTGAAAATCCCGGAAAAAATGAAAGAATCAGAATTTCCCGGTAATATGCACATCTACAAATTGTGTCCTATTCTGCAAAGTTTGAAGAAATTCTGTGCAGCGGTTTATGAGGAGTTGCGCTGACAAAATGTTCACCACTATATTCAAGATATCCCCAAAAACCTAAGTTGTAAAGTGCCGAAATTCCAAGTAAAATAAAGGAATCGGAATTTCCTGGTAAAATGCACATCTATACATTGTGCCCTAAATATCTGCAAAGTTTGAAGAAAATCTGTGCAGCGGTTTATGAGGGGTCGCGCTGACAAAATGTTCATCTCTATATTCAAGGTATGGCCAAAAATCTAATTTGAAAAGTGCCAAAATTCCCAGAAAAATAAAGGAATCGGAATTTTCTGGTAATATGCACATCTACACACTGTGTCCTAAATATCTCCAAAGTTTGAAGAAAATCTGTGCAGCGGTTTATGAGGAGTTGCGCTGACAAACTGTTCATCTCTGTATTCAAGGTATGGCCAAATGCTTAAGTTAAAAAGTGCGGAAATACCCGGAAAAAATCATGGAATCGGAATTTCCTGGTAATATGCACATCTACACATTGTGTCCTAAATACCTGCAAAGTTTGACGAAATTCTGTGCAGTGGTTTATGAGGAGTTGCGCTGACAAAAAAAAAGGACTGACTGACTGACTGACACTCTGACGGACAGGTCAAAAACATTATACCTCACGCAACTAGTTGCGTGGGGTATAAATATTCAGTAGAGTGTACACCTTAGAGTAGGGGTCCTATACTGGACTCCCCGTCCACTTCTCTGAAAAGAATATTCAGGAGAACACCTTAGAAGAGGGGTCCTATGTTCGACTTGCAAGTCAGAAGTCCCTGATTGGGGCAAACTAAGATCTTATGCAGACCTCTGGATTTCTATCAATAAACCATTAATAAATGCACCTGGGGTTTTTATAAATAGCGGGATATATACATCATTCTGATCTATAGGCACTCCCTATCTTAATTGTTTAACAAATTTACATCTTCTATACTAAAAGTAGATGCATTTTTTTAAAACAATTAAGATAGGGAGTGTCAATGCAGCAATGCTCTGATCTATCATATGATGTACTGATAGAATTTCAGAGACCTGCATGTGGATCTTACAGCCTGTACAATCAATAATCCACATGATCTGATCTGATCTGTTCATAAGATAAAGAGCAAATGACATCTCAATCTTTTTTTGTTCTACTTGATTAATACACACCTTGCATTTGCAACAAGAGCTTTTCTTTTCACTGCATGGCCAACATCTCTTGATAATAAATTTCGTAAACACGTCAAAATCTGTCTCTGTGTCATGATCTGTTCATAAGATAAAGATAATACCATCAAGTATGATACCATAAACAAATATTTCTTGTATAGAAATAGAGAATAATATCAATTGAATATACTGTAGCATCAAGCATGCTAAACTCTCTCACCTTTCATGGGCATCGAGGAATTTCGGTCTCGATTGTGCAATCGTAACTCCTCGGTCATTTCATTACATGACATTTGTTTAGAGGAAAATGACCGAGTGGTTGCAATAGACTGAACATGGTTTGGCTATTCAACGAAAATGTTGGTGTTGAGAGTAAAAACAGAGATCGAATAACACGTGCTCGAAATTCAATTAACAAAGTGATCTCTTTACAATATAAATGTTAAGAGGAATATAAATGTTATAATTTCAACAAATAAATAATTGGCTTGTACATATTAAAAAGAAATCTAGTCATTTATAAAATTAGCAAAAAAAAAAAAAAAAAAGCTATATTAAGTATAAGGAGTGATATTTGGGAATCATAACATTGTTCAATATTTGGTTTTCTTTTTAATTTTTTTTTAAAGGGGTTGGTAGCAAAAATGAATAAAGTACATATATCCTAACTTGATCCACTTATACCTACATGTATATTAATTGAAATTTCCTTCATGTGGAGATATCAAAGACTTAATCCTTTTGATAAGCAAAATGTCCAGAATTAATTAAACCAATAAAACAAAACAATAATTAATTCATCAAATTTTATTTCAATTGTAAACTTTAAAATGAAAGTACAATGTATAATTATTGATATTCATTACCCTTCTCTTCGCAGGCATGTAGAATAAAACATCGCCTTTCTTTAAGGCTCATGTTGAACAAAACTTTGACAAAAGAACAATATCTTAGAAACAAAGTTAATATCATTTACATTATAAAATACACATCTGATCAACATTAAAAAACACTCATTTCATTTTTACTACATTGTACATGTACATTGTACACGTACAAAGTAATTTAAAAACAAATTTCATCACATATAAAGAAGTGGAAAAAAATATTTTTGAATATGAGGCAGAATATATGGCAGTATAAACATGATAAATGTTAGAAATTTGAAAGCGTCTTAATTTCCTGTAATTTTGCTATCTATTACATAAATATAGATTTAATATCAACACATTAACTGAGGTAGAATCCTAAGAATGATACAAAATATGACTTACAATGTTAAAATATTGCATAATAAAAAATCTGCATCATCCACATTAAACAAAAAGGACATGGACGTCATAATTTTCATTGTACAGTTTTGCAATTAAACTATAAAAATACATCGATTTACAATTAAGAAATGTTAAAGGGTTTTAAATACTCAGAACACAAGGCAATGAATTCTCACTCCTAATCAGGAACCACTACCTCTGCTGAGACCTGGTTAAATCTGGTTAAAATTTATAATAATTTTGAAGAATTAACTGTTGAATTTCTCTGTCAAAATTGGTCTTCTGGTTGAAATTTGTAATACTAGGGTAATTTTGGAGAATACATTTAACTGTTGAGTTGTCAATAAACAGAGAAGTAAAGCCAGTTTGACGTCTCTATTTCTGCTAACTTTATTTCTTAAATAAATTCCATTACTTTTAACCTCTACAGGCCCAAAATAAATCTGCTAGATTATGTAAATTTGTTTTGTAAGAGTTTGCTACAACAAGAAAATTCAATTGCAAAATGGACACTTGTTAAGAAGTTTTCAGGGGATCAAAAAAAAAAAACTTTTTAATATCCATTGTTTTATCTACATTCATACTAAACAAGCCTTACTGTATTTTGTATTTATGAAAAACAATTTTAACATCATTTAATAAAAAGAAATAATTGCATAAATTTAATCTGTTTCTTGCAAACTAGTTTTTAATAAATTTTCTTGAAATTAGACTAAGCAATGTAAAAGGAGTACATCTTGTAAATATTCATACAGACATGACAGAGAGATCATCAGACTGACATTACCTAAGAAACATTGCCAAGCATGAGGCATCTGTTCTACTGAAAAAAAATTGTTTGAAGAAAAATTAAATACCCCTTATCATAATCACACATTCACTGTACAACCAAAATAGAGCCATAGCTAGATCATAAATAAAGCCCTCTTCAGTCTGGGTCAGATTCATTGAGTACAGGTTGTATATAAATAGGAAATATTCATAAACATTTTAGCTCATTAACAAAAATCAATTAACATGTATAGAAAGACAATGGGTAAAATAAATAATAATGACCTCAAAAATCTATAATATCAATAAATAAATTGATTCGTCTCTTTATGTTCTTAGAGTTGTCTACTTGCATGTCACATTATATTATCTAAAACTGTTATTTGGGGTAGCATTTTGAGAGTATTTCACCGAAATTTCTAACGGCAAATAAATCAGTTACATCTGAGTAGCATTTTGTATATAAACTTATAATAAATTGCCATTGATACAATGTGTCTACATATGGAGTAGCATTAACAAAAATCAAGAAACATGTATAGAAAACCATGGGTAAAATAAATAATAATGACCTCAAAAATCTATAATATCAATAAATAATGTGATCGTTGCTTTTTTCACATAGATTCAGCTACTTATAATAAATCTGCCATTGATTCCTGTGTCTATCACAGCATTGTTGTACAAGAGATGGCACTGAAAAGCCTTCAGGAGCAACCATGTGATGAAATTCTTGTAGTACTAGGAAATCCTACAGAAGAGACCATTAGATTCCTGTAGGACTAGGAAGTTCCACAGGAGCAACCATTAGATGAGATTCCTGTAGGACTAGGAGTCCTTGAGACGGAGTAATTGTCCTGAGGTTGTTTGAATGCTAAAAACAGAGAAAAAAAAAGGAATTTTACTAAATGTTGAAATAAACTTCAAGAGTGAAAAATTCCCAATTACTACAGATTTTGGCTTTAAATGTTAAAAACTTCATTGATATTTGAAGCTAGAAGCTTTTTTTTAAAATAAAAAAATGTGTGTAAAGCAATTTACCACTTGATGAGATCAGCACCAATTACTTCATGCATGTGATACTGGAGTCCAAGCTTACAAATCTTAGGCCATTTCCTTTGTTCCAATTCCTATGTTTAAATAAAAGTTGATCAAACTAAATCAGACAAGTCTTTGAGAAGACTGCAGCTCTTTTTTTCTTGTACTGTTGAATAATCATGGTAGAGGAGAGTTGCAACTGGTTTTGCAACACATTGTTTTTCAAAATCGTTCTAGTTTTAATTTACAGGATCGCATATCTAAGTTTTTATTGTTAGAAGGTATGTTGTCAACATACTTTATCAGCACTACCATATTTTAATATCTTTTGTGTTTATGATGTTAAAGTGAACAAGATATGTTTGCAAAAACATACTAGCACATTTGACTTCTAGAGTTTATTACACATGTATTATGCCCCCTTCAAAGAAGGGAGGGTATATTGCTTTGCTGCTGTCTGTCAGCCAGTCGGACTGTCTGTCAGTCCTCCAACAGTTTCCATTCATTTTCTCCGCAGATGTTGCACATATTGAATTGAAATTTGGTATACAGATTTATATTAAAAATACAGAGCTGCCAACATTCTGAAATCACAAATAGTAAGGCGGGGTCTAGGGAACACCTAGGCCCCCTGCCGCGGAAGATGTTTTGTAAATGGACATCCAATCTGAGGCATGTTTCCTTTTTGTTTACGTTAAAACATTGACATCAATGTGATCGGCCTTCTAAAACTGAAACGATGATACTTGTAAGCAAGCATTGAAAAACTTCTAAATTATATTAGTAGAATTTCATAGACTGCCAACTATGAAAATACAAAAATTATAAACTTTGAATGAGAAAAACTGAAATCGGAAGAATATATAGAGAAATCGTAAGGCGTATTTTAGAGGCTGATTTCGTACGCCTTACGCCAAAATCGTAAGGGTTGGCAGCTCTGAAAATATCTAGGTCAATTTCTGTTTTGGGTACAATCAGGCCATTTTTGACAGAGATATGCCCCTTGGACTTAGAAAAATTCCAATTATTTGCACTTTCTGTTCAATACATTTTATTTGCAGAGGTTGCACATATTGAAATGAAATTTGGTGTACAGATTTATCACGAGAATATCTAGGTCAAGCTCTGTTTTAAGTACGATCGGCCATTTTGTACAGATTTATGCCGCCTGGACTTAAAAAAATTACATTATTTGCAGTTTTCGTTCATTTTCTCTGCAGAAGTAATGTTGCTTATATTGAAATGAAATTTGGTATATAGATTTATCATGAGAATATCTAGGTCAAATTCTATTTGAGTATGACTGATCCATTTTGGATAGATTTATGCCTCTTGAACGTAGAAAAATTCCAATCATTTTGGGAAGGCCGGGAGGGGGGCATAAGTGTTTTACAAACATCTCTTATTTAATTTGAATCCCTAGGCAACATCTAACTTAAAGTGAATCAAAAGTTTTGAATTTAATATTATATTATTTATTTACATGACTTTTCCATTTCAATACATGTACCACAGTCTTACCATTTGAAGGATCTCCCGGTATTTCTATTTTTACTAACCTTTTGAAGGATCTCCCAGTATTTCTATTTTTACTAACGATTTTTAAGGATCTCCCGGTATTTCTATTTTTACTAACCGTTTGAAGGATCTCCCAGTATTTCTATTTTTACTAACCGTTTGAAGGATCTCCCAGTATTTCTATTTTTACTAACCATTTTTAAGGATCTCCCGGTATTTCTATTTTTACTAACCATTTGAAGGATCTCCCGGTATTTCTATTTCTACTAACCATTTTTAAGGATCTCCCGGATTTCTATTTCTACTAACCATTTTTAAGGATCTCCCGGTATTTCTATTTTTACTAACCATTTGAAGGATCTCCCGGTATTTCTATTTTTACTAACCATTTGAAGGATCTCCTGGTATTTCTATTTTTACTAACCATTTGAAGGATCTCCTAGTATTTCTATTTTTACTAACCGTTTGAAGGATCTCCTGGTATTTCTATTTTTACTAACCATTTGAAGGATCTCCCGGTATTTCTATTTTTACTAACCATTTGAAGGATCTCCTAGTATTTCTATTTTTACTAACCATTTTAAAGGATCTCCCGGTATTTCTATTTTTACTAACCATTTGAAGGATCTCCTGGTATTTCTATTTTTACTAACCATTTGAAGGATCTCCTGGTATTTCTATTTTTACTAACCATTTGAAGGATCTCCTGGTATTTCTATTTTTACTAACCATTTGAAGGATCTCCTAGTATTTCTATTTTTACTAACCGTTTGAAGGATCTCCTGGTATTTCTATTTTTACTAACCACTTGAAGGATCTCCCAGTATTTCTATTTTTACTAACCATTTGAAGGATCTCCTAGTATTTCTATTTTTACTAACCATTTTTAAGGATCTCCCGGTATTTCTATTTTTACTAACCATTTGAAGGATCTCCCGGTATTTCTATTTTTACTAACCATTTGAAGGATCTCCTGGTATTTCTATTTTTACTAAGCGTTTGAAGGATCTCCTGGTATTTCTATTTTTACTAACCATTTGAAGGATCTCCTGGTATTTCTATTTTTACTAACCATTTGAAGGATCTCCTGGTATTTCTATTTTTACTAACCATTTGAAGGATCTCCTGGTATTTCTATTTTTACTAACCATTTGAAGGATCTCCTGGTATTTCTATTTTTACTAACCATTTGAAGGATCTCCTTGTATTTCTATTTTTACTAACCATTTGAAGGATCTCCCATTATTTCTACTTTTACTAACCGTTTGAAGGATCTCCCGGTATTTACATTTCCTTATCATTGTCAGAATGGCCTTTCTTCCTCTCAAGAAACACTTCATGAAGACCCCAGCGTTTGGTAGAGCGATCCACCAGTTCCCTACATCCCTAACTGTCAGGACAGAGGCCTTAACCAGCTGCCTGGAATTAACATAGATTACAGTTATATATCTGAATGTTACTGTAACACAACAACAGAGGCCGTAACCAGCTGCCTGGAATTAACATAGATTACAGTTATATATCTGAATGTTACTGTAACACAACAACAGAGGCCTTAACCAGCTGTCTGGAATTAACATAGGTTACAGTTATATATCTGAATGTTACTGTAACACAACAACAGAGGCCTTAACCAGCTGTCTGGAATTAACATAGGTTACAGTTATATATCTGAATGTTACTGTAACACAACAACAGAGGCCTTAACCAGCTGTCTGGAATTAACATAGGTTACAGTTATATATCTGAATGTTACTGTAACACAACAACAGAGGCCTTAACCAGCTGTCTGGAATTAACATAGGTTACAGTTATATATCTGAATGTTACTGTAACACAACAACAGAGGCCATAACCAGCTGCCTGGAATTAACATAGGTTACAGTTATATGTGTAAATGTTACTGTAACACAACAACAGAGGCCTTAACCAGCTGTCTGGAATTAACATAGCTTTAAGAACTTATATATCTAAATGTTACTAGTACTGCAACTCAAATATATTACATGTTCAGTACTGTAACACAAGAAAAGAGGCTTTAACCATCTGCCTGGAATTTACACAGTTTACAGTTCTTGATCTGAATGTTACTTATCATAATACAACAATATCACAATCTCTTACGTAATTTCTGAGTCAGTGAAGCTGAATTCATTCATCAAAGTGTCTTTGTTGATGCAGACATCTGTATATTTCTTGATGACAGTATTCACATATTTATCTGCAAAAGTCAAATTGATATACATGTACATGAAGGCACTTGTCATTATTATCAATTTTTAGAGTGTTTTTGATGGTACAATTGCGCTCGCCCCAACGGTCACACCGTAAAACATATTAGATAGTAACATTCTTATATGCAACTAAATAATGAGTAAATATACCTCATCATTCTTAGCTAGTTATTTTGTGAGTTTACAATAGCCCAATTTGACCTACTTACTACAAATATTTTTGCTGATGGAGAGTTCTTTCATCACACTGATCACATGATCTCGATATGCCTCAGTGAACACAATACAATAGTCATCTAACTCAGCACCAAGCTTGAACAGCTTAATCTCATTGGCTTGTTTTAAATCATCCTGAAAAAAAAAAATCAAAGTACTTAACCAGGGTTGTGCAATCAAAAATTTTGTTTGTTTGCTCTTTGTCTTGTCTTTAGTTATCAAAAATCAGCTATTTTTATATCAACAGTAAGTCTTGTTTTACATCACCTGAGGAAAAATATGTACTCTGCAAGTCTTACTAGCTGTTTATCAACAGCTGTTCTTTAATAAGTGTTGAATATTTTGTGTAAGACTTACTAATTGTTTATCGACGACTGACCTGTCCTTTTGTGTAAGACTTACTTATTGTTTATCGCAACTGTCCTATCCTTTTGTGTAAGACTTACTTAATCTAATTGTTTAGTCTAATTGTTTATCCATGACTGCCCTATCCTTTTGTGTAAGACTTACTAATTGTTTATCGACGGCTGTCCTATCCTTCAGTAAGCTGTACAGCTGATGTTTCACTATCACTGCCGGTAATCTTCCTTCAAACTTATCTAAGGGAAATAACTCTTTGAGATGGAGGAGAGACACTTTGGTGTCAGAGGGTATCTCAGCAGCTAATAAAAACAAAAGTTGAAATGAAATGTGTATCATTTTCTTCAATATTAACAAGTTTATGACAGGATCAATACTTCGACAAGCTAAAATTTCTGTACATGCATGAAACCATATATTCATTTAATCTAAAATTATAGCAAATAATATCTCAAGAAATGCAAGCCAGATTCTAAGCTTTAGTGTGTTGCTGATAAAAGAAAGTGTTTGGTTCCTACTGGAAAATGAAGTTCCATTCACTCCATCATTAAACTCAGGTGTGTCTGTGGCAGAGGAACGTGAGGCAGTGCAGATTCTTTTTCTGGACTTGTACAGATCATTAACCATCGACCTCTTGGACATAATTTGAATTCTACAAAAATGAAAACATAGAGTTCACAAAATACTTTTGTTATTCCCAACAAAGTTAAGACTTCATTCTGACTTGCTAAAAGTTAAACAAGTCAAGCAAGATAACAATATCAATTAAATGTCACTCAATCAGTCAATAGCAGTTCTATTGGTAAGAAATTGCAAATGTCAGTTAAAACCTGGGGATCAACATGTTTAAAGCAGAAACAAGCCTAAAAGGAGTTTACCCTGCGATTAGACACACCCGCACTTGACTCGTTCTTCTATTGGACTTCAAAGCTGAGTAACCACAACCTGTGCCGGGTTGAAAGTTCTGATCGGAAAAATTACTTTTGGAAATCCTGTTTGTTCATTTAAAATAGAACAATGAAACGTCTGCTAACTCAGTAACTGAATTTTGTTTCCAGCAGACACTGAAATGTCATGGAAGCTTCCATATTTAAGGAACGGAACAAGAGAGAAAAATAAATTTTATTGGCTATTAATCCACTTCCGCTATTGTACTTTCACTTTCAACACGTGTAAACAAAAAAAAAGTGGTAATGTGTAAAAATTATGATTTTTTGTCTGAATAATCAGTGTATGACATGTAATTCTTTTTACTGTGGTCGAAATGAAGCGTTCGTATGGAGAAATAGAGGACGATCCTTCGTGTGGGGCCATCAAAAATAAATATCGAAGACAAGATCAAACTCCTACATGTACTTCTTTAAAAACAAGACCAAACAGTTTGTTTAAAGGAACGGGCAATTTTCCATTTTTTAGACAGCCGACAGAAATAGGCTGTTTGTCTCTAGACATAAAAAGGAATTTCCATAATGACAGGAGTCAGTTAAAATATTATGTAGAACCAAGAGACATTGAGAGTGTTAATTTTGATTTAAGAAAAGGTTATGATAATTTCATAGAAAAGGATGAACATTCAGAAGAGTATATCAATGATATATTGAAGTGGATCCGTTGTAACAGAGAAAAGTTTCTGCTGGAAGATGAGAAGAAAAAGTCAGACAAAGAAAAGGGAATGATTAGGTGAGCTTAGAGGATGACTACCTGTAGTACCTGTAATTTTTTTTTTTGTTACGACAAAATTATATAAAATTTTTTGATTGAAAAATATCTAAATATTCATTCTTTTCTTTGGTTGTAGATATATGATATAAACAACATCACACCACTGTTTTGATCTTGTCCCTGGTATCAGCCCTTGGATGGTCTCGGCCTGCGCCCTCCAGGCTTGGGCCGATATCAATCGCTCGGGATGATACCAGGGCCGAGATCAAAACAGCAGTGTGATATTCTATATTTAATAAACAGAACATATAATAATTATTTACAAAATGTGATATCATAGTAGTATTATGTTCCATGTCATTCTAATGTTTTAAATCAGAGAAGGTCCTCTATGGCATGATTTCAAATTATATCCCAGAAAATAATAATTCATTCATTTAAAAAATTTACACACATCATGCATACATGTATACATTGTATTTCTAAAAAAAATTCCTTGATTTGAATTACAGGAATATTCATACTGATTTTGTTTGCTGGAGGGGACTTCTGACAAAGCTGCTCTGCACTCCTTATGAAAACAGGGACGGATGGCTTATAGCTGTGACTCGGTACAAAGACACATTTTACATGTGTGAATTTGATACTGAAAGTCGAAAACGTCAGAAGCAAGAAATGTCAGAGAGGCAAAAGGAAATGTCTTACTGGGGCTGGAAATTTGAACAGTATGTAACTTCGGGTAGGTATTATTTCCGACTACCTGTCACAACCTAGTACTTTTTATACACATGATACAATATCACATTGATTTAAACTTTAGATTCATATCTATGGCACGCCAAATTCACAAAAATGAGCAAAACATAGTTTCACAGTCGATGAACTAGGTTTATCGGTTGTAAACTATAGTTTACGGACTGTAAACTATAGTTAACAACGTTAATGTATATTTTACATCTGTAAACCATATTTAACGCGATAATCTATGTTTCACAACCGTAAACTATACTTAACACCGAAAACAATCATTTGTGATTGCAAAACATATATTATCTGATAAATACAGTTTCATGATTGTAAACTATGGTTTACAACTCTTAACTATTGTTAAAGATCATAAATTATAGTTTACAGACGTGAATCTATGTTTATCAACAAAATCTATCGTTAACGTTTTATTACAGACAGATAAACTTAGATTAGCGTTTGTAAACTATAGTTAACAACCGTTAAATATAGTTTTACAGGTAAAAACTATACTTAATGAATTGTAAACTATAGTTTACAGTTTGTAAAGTATAGTTTACAGTCGATAAACCTAGTTTATCAATTGTGAAACTAGGTTTAGCATGCCAAATTCACAAAAATGAGCTAATCATAGGTTCACAGTCGATAAACTAGGTTTATCGGTTGTAAAGTATATTTTATGGACTGTTAACTATAGTTAACAGCGTTAATCTATATTTAACATTTGTAAACCATAGTTAACACGATATTCTATGTTTCAGAACCGTAAACTATACTTAACACAAAAAACATTCATTTGAGATCGCAAAACATAGATTATCTGATAAATACAGTTTCACGATTTGTAAACTATGGTTTACAACTCTTAACTATAGTTAACTATCGTAAATTATAGTATACAGACGTGAATCTATGTTTATTAAGAAAATATATTGTTAACGTTTTAATACAGACAGATAAACTTAGATTAGCATTCGTAAACTATAGTTAACAACCGTTAAATATAGTTTTACAGATGAAAACTATACTTAACGGATCGTTAACTATAGTTTACGGTTTGTAAACTATAGTTTACAGTCGATAAACTTAGTTTATCAATTGTGAAACTAGGTTTAGCTCATTTTTATGCCCCGCCATGAATATGGCCGGGGCATATAGTGTTTGTCATGTCCGTCTTCCGTCCTTCTGTCCTTCTGTCCTTCCGTCCTTCCGTCACACTTTGCGTTTAGCTCTGTTCAAAGCTAAGTTTCAAAGAAACTATCCAAGATATTTTCATCAAACTTCATATGCTGATAGATATTGATGAGAGCTATGCAACTGCATCAACATTTTTTGACCTTGACCTTTCCTTTGACCTTGACCTCACTTTTTCTTAAATTAGTGTTTAGCTCAGTTTTAAACATACCATTCAAGATGGTGTTATCAAACTTCACATGTGGATACAAACTTGAACGGATGATGCATATCTAGGGATGAACACTACCAGACTTGCTTCGGATGCTGGATCTGACCTACATTTTCCAGATAAGTGACCAGATTAAAGTTTTTGGAGCAGGTCCATTCCTAAGGAACTATAAGCCCAACTTGGACCAAACTTGCATGGATGACCTATATTTTCATTCCCAAGTAACTATAAGCCCTACCTGAACCAAACTTGCATGGATGATGCATCTAGGGACGGACACTACCAGACTTGCTTCGGATGCTGGATCTGACCTATATTTTAATTCCCAAGTAACTATAAGCCCTACCTGAACCAAACTTGCATGGATGATGCATCTAGGGATGGAGACACTACCAGACTTGCTTTGGATGCTGGATCTGACCTATATTTTTATTCCCAAGTAACTATAAGCCCTACCTGAACCAAACTGATCAAATTTTATACACATACAAATTTTCATGTTGCTTTACTAATATATCCTTGGCGGGGCATTTATGTCCTATGGACATATTTCTAGTTGTGAATTTGGCGTGCCATACATATCTGCAATTAAATGCATGAACACATGATCTCAATAACTACTTCTTATGGAAATTAAATCACTTAGATATGGTTGTTTTTTTTACTATTATGCAAATTATTTAAAAATGCTATGTTTGGTAAGTGATAGTTTCTGCTGTTCAATTGCTTTTCTCCAACAGATAAATCAGATGGTGTTCCAAACACAGAGGAGCCAGTCAATAATTGTGAGGCATTCTGTACAGTGGTCAGATCAAGGCTGGAGAAGCACTCGCTGTGTAAGGAACTCAAGGATTTCAATACCATATCACAGCTTTAAACTGTGTTCTTTAACAAAAAAATGTACATTCTGTCTATGATTGTCAAATAGGTACTACAAAGCAGGTCTCTTTAGTGGTTGTTAATTATACCCCCGCTCCGAAGGAGAGGGGGGTATACTGTTTTACCCTTGTGTGTCTGTCCGTCTGTCTGTGTGTCCGTGTGGCTGTGTGTCCGTCCGTAACAAATTTTCGTCGCAGTTTTCTCAACAACTACTCATCGTAGATGCTTGAAATTTTAACACAATCTTCTCTGAGGCATGCCATATGGTGGGATACATTTTTGTTCAAATCCAATGTCAACTTCCTGTTTGTCTGTGCATCTGTCCGTTTCATACATAACAAATTTTCGTCACAGTTTTCTCCGCAACTATTCATCGTAGATGCTTGAAATTTTAACACAATCTTCTCTGAGGTATGTCATATGGTAGGTTACATTTTTTTTTTAAATCCGATGTCAACTTCCTGTTTGTCTGTGCGTCTGTCCGTTTCATACATAACATATTTTCGTCGCAGTTTTCTCTGCAACTACTCATCGCAGGTGCTTGAAATTTTAACACAAACTTCTCTGAAGCATGCCATTCACTGGGATACATTTTTATTCACATCCGATGTCAACTTCCTGTTTGTTGTGTGTCTGTCCGTTTCATACATAAAAAATTTCGTCGCAGTTTTCTCATTAGCTATTTATAGCAGATGCTTGAAATTTTATTACACTCTTTGTTGAGGCATGCCATATGGGGGGATTTATTTTGATATGAATCTGATGTCAACTTCATACTTTTCTGTGCATCTGCCTGTAATTGAACTTGTGTATATTAACATGATAGTGCTTATTTACATCAGAGCTGGGGTATTACTAGTTTTGCTTGCTAAGATATGACAATAATTTTTGCACTCAAATGTCCATGTTATTACAAACTGGAAAACTATACCATATAAAAGGAGAGTGCTTCAGGTACCTTATATTTGCAAAGAAATGCTAAAACTATACTACAAGTACAATGCAATAAAAATAGATCAAATCATGAATTACAGACACAGTGAGACTCTTAACAAACAAGTTTGTGAAACACTGATGCCCCCGTATGGCAGCTTATAACAAGGGTTGAATTCTCACAAATGCATGTCAAACTCCAAAAGTCAAGGTGAAACCCAAAGGAAGGTCTTGTTACAAGGAATACACTTGTGAAATATGAAAGCCCTAGTTCTAATCTTCCAAAATTATGAGCAAGTTTTTAAAGTTTTTTAATTATTGGGTCAAACTCTTAGGTCAAGGCCAAAAGGTCAAAATATTTATTCCACCTGAAAGGTCTTGTCACAATAAATACACATATGAAGTATAAAAGCCCTAGCTCCAACTGTTCAAAAGTTATGGTCAACGTTAAAGTGTGGTATTTTTTGGTAAAAATAGGTCAGATATCAAGGTCAAAATTTGGTGGTACCCAAAGAAAGATCTTGTCACAAGGAATGCACCTGTAAAATATGAAAGCCACAGCCCCACCCACTCAATAGTTTATATGGGTAAGGTAAAAGGTGACAACAGACAGACAGAAAAACAGGCATAAAAAGTACCTGTCCCAAGGCAGTGGAGTAGTAAGGTATGCTTGGAGTGATGCATTGACTATATATAAGCTTTTTAGGTCACCTAGCTGGGTCACTTAAATGACCTTTCACTACATGTATCTGTTTTTCCTCGAAGTGCATGCTTTACAAACTTCTGAACGTTTTCAGCATTTTGGTAGCATTGTAAATGTTCTAAAAGCAACATGAAACAAAATTTGCTAATTTCATTGCCATAGTTTAAATGGGGCCCTTCATCAATTTCAAAAATATTAAGTTCTTCACTCTTAAACATTTAATATAGACATTTAACATGCAGACTGTCCTTCAAGATTCTGAAAATGTAGAATTAAAATGCTTGAATACCGGTATTATGTTTTAACATTAAATAAAGCCAAACTTATAAAAATGTTTAATCATTCATTTTCTTTTAGTTAATTTGTGGTCATTTTTCTTTTCTCTGTATAAAGTGTTCTCTGGAGAAGTTGATGCAATTGATCATCAAGCAGCTGATTCATGTAAATATGTAGAATTCAAGACAACAAGGCAGCTAGATAATTATAGACAAGAAAGGAACTTTATCAAGTAAGGATAAGACATATGATGTTTGTTAAAAATCTCTTCAAGAATTCTTGTTAATCACTCAATTTTCCCAAAACTATATTTTTTAAGGGAAACAAAATTTTCACCAATGTTGGTTATTGCTCTAGATAATTGTTAATACATGTATTAGAATTATATGAGATAATTAAATTTTTGCGAGAAGACACTTTCACATAATTATGCAAAAATAGTTTTGGGAATTAAAAGTGATCTAAGTATTACAGGTACAGTATATAGTAGGATGTCAGACATCAACTCCATAAAGCTTGAAAGAGTATAAAAAGGGGCATAACTCTTGATACTCAGCCTAACATTATTTCTATTTTAGGTTTAAGTTAATAAAGTGGTGGGCCCAGAGTTTCCTGGTGGGTATTCCAACTATTGTCTGTGGTTACCGTGACGATGATGGGGTAGTTCATAGCCTAGAGAAAATGAAAACTCTGAAAATTCCTCAGCAAGCCAAGGCAAGTCACTGATAAACATTAAATTATACAAACAGTGACAGTTTTTTAATCCAAGTCAAAACATTCATGATCGCAGTGAAATGAATGTTCTACTGTATTGTCCTGACTATTTGCAGAATGAACGCGATGGTTGGGACCCAGTGATTTGTTTTAATTTTCTGGACAAATTTCTCTCTCATGTGAAGAAAACCTGTGTCAAAGATGACCCCAAGTAAGTTACCATCATCAAGTCATTTAACCCCTTTTTCTCTCCATAACATTGTGATAATCCTGTGACCTTTTCATCCATTGTGTTGTAGGACAGTTTACTTGTTTGAATGGACACCCCCAGGAGAGATAACCTGTTCTATTCAGGACCCTGGCTCCAGATTTGAGTTCCTGCCTCAGTGGTATACAGACAATGGCTGAGTGCCTGATGAACAAGTGTGATCTTATTCCTAGAACAGCGAGAGCCAAATTCTCACAAATATCCCCTTAATACGGGCCATGTCTACCACACTGAAGAACTCCATTCTTACAAACTTATTATGATTTATTTGATATAACACAGTTATCAAAAAATGTTGAAAATACAGATACTGGTACATTTATGATGTTAATAAAGTAAATATATTGCACTTAGTACAGTAAAACTCAGTTATAACGAAGTCACAGGGACCTATGAAATCACTTCGCTATATCCGTAATTCGTTATATCCGTATAAAGAATTCATTAAATTCATATAGTGGGGGATAACTTCATTATATCCTTGAATTCGCAATATCCGTGTTCGTACTAAACGAGTTTTACTGTATATGTTTTTCCTATAAGTTATAAGAATGTGAAATGTAACACTTTTTAAGTTATACTACACATGTATAGCACATAAAGTCATAAACAGAGGCATCCAGCTTCATAAATTCATACAAAACCATACTGATACAGATGAATTTTGTTATTTCGAACACCAGTATCTCCATAATTAGGAATATCTCAAAGTTAGCTTGCAGTCCCAATCTCTTAAATTTGTCATGCTTTAAACCCAGTTATCTCAAATCATTGGATATCTCGATTTAATTTTGGTCCAGTTGAGTTTGAGATAACAAGGTATGACTGTAGTACTTACATATTATATATTACACGATTATTTACTGGTACCTTAATTGAAGCTGTCTGCTATTTATTATATTATCTGTTGGTACATTTCATTTAAATAAACTTTACTCCAGAAATACTAACTAGTGGTCTATACAGCTATTATTTGTGATTTTGGCCTAGGTTGCAGGCATGTAATTTGGGTCTAAGTAGTTGTATCCCTCTGGCATGAAGGACTTTGTCCCATAATCATTATCCGCGGAGTCTTTTGTTAGGGCTGTTGGATGGTGACTGGAGTTATCTGTCCCGTAGTCGGCCTGGTGTTTTGTTACAGCTGTGAGGCGGTGACTGGAGTTATGTTGACCGATCTCAATGTTCCTGTTGACACAGTTCTCACAAAAATCCACACACTCCTCTTGATCACAGTCCTGGCAGTGCCACCTGGTGCCAACAATTGGGTCACAATTACAACCATCACATCTGAAGCCAAAGTGTTTTGTGGTTGCCTCACTCTTTACTTTCATTTTGAGGTGTTTAAGTTTCTTTAGTTGCATCAACTCTTCGTACTCTGGTGTATTTCTCAGTTCGATAGGAATGAGTTCATCTTCGTCTGGATCTTCTTCCTCGTCAGAGTTATCAAATCCAGAACTGAGAAAGTTTTCTCTGGCTTCATCACCGCCATAGAAGGACTCGGAATTATTCTCGTCATCGGACATGTAGACTGGGGGTTCGTGAGATGTCAGGAATGTGGACGGTTGGTAGTAAAACTTCTGAAATCTTTGATGTCTGTGGGAATGCTTTGGTCTATGAATAGCAATGTTTGGAAGTCTCCCAGGAATTGGAAGTCCTGCTTTGGCCAGCTTTATGAAGTACTTCTGCACACGGCTTGCCACTTGGATAGGTGTTCTATTTCCAAGTGCATTTGCAATCTTTGCCCATCGTTTTGCTTCCACTTCTTCAGGTGGAAATTCTACCAAAAGTTCCTCTAATCTCTTCTGTTCCTCTGCTGTCCACAACTTGTTGAATGTTTCTGTTTTGTCGTCTCCTTTTACCCTACCTCTCACTAATGTCATATTACCCTCCACTTTTACCGAGTCATCCAAACATTCCGGATTGCCTGGTCCCTCAACTAACTGCTTCCTTAACCGAGTCACATGTTTAGGAAATCCAAAACTGGAAAAGTCAACAGAACTTGTGTATTTCTCCCAGTTGATTGCAGGGAGCTCTGCAACCTGCTGTGCTTTTGGTAAACCCAAATCTACACCATGCTGCAGCTTATTTACAAATTCAATAGGGCTTTTCAGTGCATCGTCCATGCATTCGTGCAGCTTCTCAATGTCTGCTATAGCTTGAATTCTTTGTGCCTCTAGTAAGGCTATCGTTTTCAACATTGCGTTATAATCGCTGTTTCCGCGAAACGCCAGATGGTCTGACTCGAAGTAATAGGATTCACTGTCCCCTTCGTTGTCTTGGTCGTCCATCGGCTCTGATGTGGGGATTCCGGGCCAGGACGACGTGCTAGCAAAATTAGAATCGTCACTCATTGTTCCATCCATGCTCAAGTCCTGCGATACAAAGTTACAGTCTGACATTTCCAGTAGGGTCTTCTCGATTCCTGCAAGATGGAAAAGTGAAAGTTCTTTCTTGACATGTGCGATATGGTCTGACTATTCGGCGAAAGTGGTACAAAAGTTGAGAAATTTTTTTTAATCTTGATGTTAAAAATATTAAAAATATTGTCCAAACATTAAATTAAGAAAAGGGAAAACCTTTTTTAAGCATATAACATAGATTAAAATTATAAGACAATTTATTGTAATTCGATTTAGTTATAATTTGGTTTTGATAATCGACGACTGTATGTCGATCCCGATTGAAAAAAAAATGCTGACGGAACGTCCCGTTAACAGCAAATGATGTTTTTAAAATCCTTGTTTTGATTACAAATTAGATTTGAATATTCAAAACCCTATATTTTGAAATGTCGGTTTTCTGGATTTTAATATGGGTGAATTTTAACAAAAAGAAAATGTAGCAACCTAATACATACCTTATTGATTCTCATGTTTCAACACTGATCGAGACACTTAAAAAATACTAGGGATAGGTTATTGATGATAAATAGTTCAATAGTAAAATGGTTAATCGAACATTCAAATTTTTATCTATATAGATAAAGAGATGTGGAACGTATAATAGTAGTAGTAGTATAATTATAAAGAGTTTGCCTCTTAATTTCGATAGAGCTACATAGTTTGTACCTTGATTACAATTAAAGAAACCACAACATTTGTTTTATAATTACGTGAAATTTACATATCATTTTATTGTTAAAGTTAACATTTCAAATGATATATATTCCAGTCTGAATTTAAAAGAGCGAGTTTCATAATAATGTTTTTTCCGTATAGAAAAAAAGAATCCTTTCTCTGGCAGGTCTCCTCACAAAAGCTCGTTACATGGAGTAGACCACTTAGCCATTATGATCTTATTGTTGTAAGTCCATAACGTGTTTACGGACGTTTGTTTGAATGATGTCTGAATACTACAGTATTGCTTTGGCTAGATGACAAAATATGCTAAAATGTAGTAGCTATCTTATAGTTTCTGTACTCCTTCATAGCTCGCAGTTTTAGGTTTTGGTATTGTCCCATTTGTTTAGGTCTGTCAGTGATTATAGACATGTCATGTTGTAAATTTTGAATTTACCGGGTGGCAGTAAATGCAAAATGTATTTATTGCCACCCGGTACATTAAAAATTTACAACATGACAGACAGCTTAATTTAACTTAGAAACTAAATACTATGAGGCTTCATCCGCCAGATGTCTCTCCATTTCAAGTTTTTCTCTGTTGTTGCCTAATTGTCTATGTGCGCCTTGGTCTCCATTTTCTGCCTTTACCCATTTAACATTTTTCTGTGTTGTACGTCAAACCATTTTCTAACATTTATTGGGGTTTCCTTTCCATTACAGATGGCATCATTAATTTGAATTTCTTTGTGTCTTTTTCCTTTCACCATAATTAAGCTTCTTGATTTCTGTGGTTAAAACTTCATTCTTGCCCAGCTTACTGTGCCATCAAAAGTCTATCGATTTGTATTTAAAAAACAACCTTCGGTCAGCATTCGACTTAATGATAGTTTTCGTCACAAGTCATTGTTTCTACCTAATGATAGATTTCATAACAGGTTATTGTTTCGACCCAATGATAGATTTCCTAACAAGATATTGTATCGAATATGGAATTTGTGCCATGTTGACTTTAAATGAGACTGTTGTATCCTTGTTTCATTAACTTATTTGTCGAAAGCCCCCCTCCCCTTTTAATTGTTCGTACATGTAGCGTGCTCTTATATGTATCGAATCAACTGAGACTGTCACACTGGTGATAGCTTAATAACCTATTTTTTAACGTTTTTATTTCATGACCCTTGAGGTTGGGCAAGGTTACAAGATAGGGGTAAGGAATTAACTATGAAAGTCTTGAGAACAGCAAACCCATTGTAAGTCGTATTAGTACAGAAACATCCTAAGGTAGTTTAGTTTTAAGTTTTTTACAAATCCTGACCCTGCGAAAGCAGGATGAAGTCTCAACAGAATATTAAAGTTTTAGAAAGGAATATGTAAGGAATATATTTAAAAAAAAATTCTTCTTAAGAAAAGCTCAGACACACATTATATTAATACAGAAGCATCTCACGTAGTGCAGATTCAATTTTGTTCAAATCATGACCCCTGGGGAATTAAGGACAGAGTCAATACAGAGTAGAAAGATGAACAATTTCTTTTTTACATAGGAATATAATCAAGAATTATCTTCGATTTTTACTTTTTGAGAAAGTCTAAGCAAAATAAATCATATTTATACAGAGGTGTCCTCTGAGGTAGTGTAGCAACAGTGGGAAAATCAAAGTATATGCAAAGCAATAAATACTAGTAAAAAAAAAACCCTTAAAATAATCTAGTAAAGCTTTGTTTACATATATTACTACGGAAGCTTCCTCTGGTAGTATAGATTGAAGTTTGTTCAAATCATGATCACCCGGGGTAGTGATGGGCCGTATGTGTTCAATATTTTACGAAACATATTAGAAAAGATCTGCTATTGAAATAAAACCCAGAAGGGTCATAGTTACGCAGGTGAGCATTGTGGCCTATGTGCCTCGTTATTTGTACTACACAAGGTAAAAATTTCAGGAAGCGGACGTATACTTTTCAATCCCAGTTAAGGTTCGACTCCATCGATTATGTAGTGAAACACATTTTCTCTTTATAGCAATCTAATTAAAATTAAATCTTTGATCCGCTCCAGTTTGATCGCTACACAAAGTAGCGATCAAACTGGAGCGGATCAAAGATTTAATTTTAATTAGATTGCTCTTTATAGTTAATATGTTTAGCAGACAAATTTGTATAATTCTCAGTCAACCTTGGACTTTCAGTAAGGCGTAGTACTCTCGACGTTACCTAATTATTAGCATCTGAAATTTACACAGCCTTTCATTCACGGTTAAAATATACATTCCGGCGTATGTCAGCGAGTGTAGAAATGATCCAATTATAGTGTTGATGTTATCAGTTTCTTAACCAATGAGAATCTAGATTCGCCATTTGAGAGAGACGAAGTGTCGAGAAAGTCACACCCTCCTGAAAGTCCAAGGTCAATTGAGAATTGTATTAAATACACACTTCCTCAAAGATTGGAAAAATCATGGCTCAAAAGTATGGGGTTCTAGTGTTAGGGTGAGGCTCTATTGGTCATTTATGGAAAATGCATATGTACTTTGAAAATGTTCCTCTCTGTTTTTAGTGATTCAGGGTCTCTCTAGTAATACGGTAGTTATGGCTATTTTGTCCATATCCATATACTGTAGGCATGGTAGATGTGCATTTAATTTCGTTTTGGATTAAATTAAGTAACTAGTATTTTCGTGTCTGATACAATAATATAAATTAAATCCAACGGGAATTATTCTATTTCAAAAACTTATTTATTAATCCTTCAGAGACCATTGTCAATTATTAAATAAAAAAATAGCTTGTTGAAATGAGTACCACGTGTTGAAATAGTCAGAAATACTATATTTTTACTAAGAGACTTAATGCACAATATCTTTACATCAATAATTCTAAAAACAAACGTCATGGTCACCATCTGGTATGTAAACATAGGTGATTGGTGATTAGTAATCTATTCAATAAATGAAGCAAGAAATAAACAAACATGTAAAAGAGGGAGAACCTTTCACAAGTGGATAGAAATAATCTCAGTAATAAACATAAAAATTGTGTATTATGCAATTTAAATATTGATGCAACAATTAATACTATTAAACTTATTATATGCCTGTCCAATGTGGATAAAAATAATCCATATAATCTGAGCTGAACTGTGCGCGAAGCCCCGAACCCTCCTTTGCCGGCCATTTGAAGTAAGTCACAGTTCCATTGTTGAGCCAGCCTGCCCACCAACTAAAAGAACCTACAGATGATATCATGTGATCGCAAGACGCCATTAAAGCTAAATCTACTTCCGCTGAATTCCCGGAAATGAACTCAACCTTGTCGTTCTTAGGAAAATTTGCTTTAGACCACGAAAGATCATTAGAACAAACGATAAAAATGGGACTAGAATAACTGGTAAAGAGCTGTACTGCTTTCGCGAAGTATTCCTTTGTTGCAACTAAATAACCAAAGCCATGGTTGACCATGTCTCCGCGTCGTACATGAACAGCAATCAAAGTTACGTTTTCTCGAGATGTGTTAAACTTCTTTAATATTCCTTTTATAATATTATTTGCGCTCGTCTGAAGATGAACCCTAAATTTTAGCTGTTCTCGTAGTTTTTCTGCCACATCTTGAAAATACTTCCACGACTGTAAATAATTCCCAACTCGATACGTTGCATCCGGCTTGAAATTCGCTACATTTTTATCATAGGAACATGCACGCCCTTCCCCTCTGAATTTTGCTTTTGCACATTCGTGTCTATTTTTGCTGATATGAAGATGTTTACTGTTTTTCAATTCAAACAACCGGTATATGAGATCATTTTCTGCTACAACAAATTTCAGATCCTTAGAGGCAGCGATTCCAAATCCGGAAGCAAACTGAAATAAATTATTTCCAATTCTCCCCATAAATGTAGGACAGACATAAAAATTGGACGGCGCATGCGTTGTAGGTGAGATCGATGTCTTGGAAACTATAGTCTTGGTAGAGGTCACTGTACTTTTGTTAGTGGTCGTTGTACTCCTGGTGCTACTGGCAGTAGTCACTGTGTTTTTGTTAGTGGTCGTTGTACTTCTGGCAGTAGTCACTGTCTTTTTGGCAATGGAAGACGGCTTTGAAACTGTCGTGAAGGCAGTTTTAGTATTTCTTGTCGCAGGTGAGATGCTAGTTTTCGAAGTGAAAGCTGGGGAAGATGGAGGAGACGGAACTGTTTTGTTTTTGACTGATAATGCTGTGTTTGAGGTCGCACCAGGTGCGGACGTTTGAGATATGTTGATTTCTATGTTTTTGGGGGGCGGATCTCGGAAGTAATTTTGTACCATGACGTTGTCCGATGATACCTTGTTGCTTTGTATAATAACCTTCAAAATCTTCATAGGTTTAAGGTGGTCGGGTCCAAATTTCTGATTCACCGTCATAAGGGTACCGAAAGCTACCACTGTTGCAAAGAAACTTGCAGCAATACATGCCGAATCTAGAAAAAATATATAAAATTAATACAAGGTGACTATACTTTTTTTTTAATTTTCAAAGTTTATTCATAAAAGATACCTAAAAAGTTACAATCTTTACATTTTAAAAATAATATTATTGATATGATATGATTTTAAGGATTTTTTGAAATTTAAATATTTGCATTGCTAAATATTTTCGACTTTTAATCAGTTGATATATGAACTTACATCGTTTTACGTTCATGGAAGAAGTTGGACGTCTTTCTGCATATCATTGCGACTGATCAGAATATCATCTATCTGAAAAGCAAAAGCAGTCATATAATAGGGTACATGCGCGGATCTAGGGGGGTGGGGGGGGGGGTGGGGGGGGGGGTCAGGACCCCCCTGGAATTTCCAAGGTTATTTACTGGTAAACTTGAACTTGTATTAAAGTGGTATGAAAAGTTAAAGATTTGAAGCATTAAAAGTCATCCCCTGGAATTTCCAAGGTTATTAAATTTATATACAAAAGCAAGAAAAAAGTTAACTTGGACCCCCCCCCCCCTGGTAAACTTCAACCTGTATTAAAGTGGTATGAAACGTTAAAGATTTGAAGCATTAAAAGTCATCGCCTACCCCCCCCCCCCTTCCCCAAGAAAAAGGATTTTGGATGTTTGGGCGAGTTTACGTGTTTTTTTTTGTTTTTTTTGTTTTTTTTTTTGCTTGTCAAGAAATTTCTGAGTTGAAATTTTTTTTTTTTTTTGGGACTGGGGTGGACCCCCCTGGGAAAAATTTCTGGATCCGCGCCTGGGGTAGGAGAAACATTGTGTACAAGTATACGTCAAAGAACACGTGATGATAACTCATGTTTTAATGACTAGTATCCTAAGATATTTATACCCATGTTTTTACATGCAAGTTACTACAGTATATAAAAAGGTATACCTACTACTGGCGGATTTAAAGGGGGGGAGGGGAGGGACGCACCCCCGCTAAAATTTTCGAAGTATGAATTGATATGACTAATATTAATAATGCCATATTTTGGTACATAACTAACCAATACCACTATTATTGTGCCTGGGTTTACTCTTTTAAGTACACGAAAACCCAGGAACTTCCAGGGGCTTCGCCCCCCTGGGCCCCCACCATTCAACGTATGATATGACTGATATTAATAATGCCGTACTTTGGTACATAACTAACCAATACCACTGTATGTAAGTAAGTAAATCGTTCATTATAGTGGCATGTGTTATAAACTTATAATACATCATAGTGACAAACATTCAATGCAATTAATATTCAAACACCCGGCCATTCGGATCTATATGCCACTTTGAACAAAAATAAAAACAAAAGGCCCATGGGCCACCTCGCTCACCTGAGAAGCTTTGACCATTCTGTTCTTTACCAGATTTCCCCCTTGTTATACATAATGCATCCCCACCCTACCCCACTGATCATAATTTAGACATTTTGAAATCTACACTACCCCATGATCCTTCCATGGGCACATATGTTTCAGCTTTTCTGGCCCAGTGGTTCCTGAGAAGAAGATTTTCAAAGATTTTTCCTATATATGTAAAACTTTGATTCCCCTATAATGGCCCCGCCCTTCCCCCGGGGGTCATGATTCCTACAATTTAGAATTTACACTACCCAGAATGCTTCCACATAAGCTTCACTTTTTCTGGCCCAGTGGTTCTTGAGAAGAAGATTTTCAAAGATTTTTCCTATATATTTCTATATAAAACTTTGATTCCCCATTGTGGCCCCGCCCTTCCCCCGGGGGTCATTATTTGAACAATTCAGAATCTACATTATACCAGGATGCTTCCACATAAGTTTCAGCTTTACTGGCCCAGTGGTTCTTGAGAAGAAGATTTTCAAAGATTTTTCCTATATATTTCTATGTAAAACTTTGATACCCCATTGTAGCCCCGCCCTTCCCCCGGGGGTCATGATTCCTACAATTTAGAATTTACACTACCCCAGAATGCTTCCACATAAGCTTCACTTTTTCTGGCCCAGTGGTTCTTGAGAAGAAGATTTTCAAAGATTTTTCCTATATATTTCTATATAAAACTTTGATTCCCCATTGTGGCCCCGCCCTTCCCCCGGGGGTCATTATTTGAACAATTCAGAATCTACATTATACCAGGATGCTTCCACATAAGCTTCACTTTTCTGGCCCAGTGGTTCATGAAAAGAAGATTTTCAAAGATTTTTCCTATATATATTTCTATGTAAAACTTTGATACCCTATTGTGGCCCCGCCCTTCCCCCGGGGGTCATGATTCCTACAATTTAGAATTTACACTACCTCAGAATGCTTCCACATAAGCTTCACTTTTTCTGGCCCAGTGGTTCTTGAGAAGAAGATTTTCAAAGATTTTTCCTATATATTTCTATATAAAACTTTGATTCCCCATTGTGGCCCCGCCCTTCCCCCGGGGGTCATTATTTGAACAATTCAGAATCTACATTATACCAGGATGCTTCCACATAAGCTTCACTTTTCTGGCCCAGTGGTTCTTGATAAGAAGATTTTCAAAGATTTTTCCTATATATTTCTATGTAAAACTTTGATACCCTATTGTGGCCCCGCCCTTCCCCCGGGGGTCATGATTCCTACAATTTAGAATTTACACTACCCCAGAATGCTTCCACATAAGCTTCACTTTTTCTGGCCCAGTGGTTCTTTAGAAGAAGATTTTCAAAGATTTTTCCTATATATTTCTATGTAAAACTTGGATTCCCCATTGTGGCCCCGCCCTTCTCCCGGGGGTCATGATGTGAACAATTTAGAATCTACACTATACCAGGATGCTTCCACATAAGTTTCAGCTTTACTGGCCCAGTGGTTCTTGAGCAGAAGATTTTTTAATGACCCAACCCTATTTTTCTCTTTTCTTGATTATCTCCCCTTGCGAGGGGATATGTCCCTTCATTTTGACAATTTAAGAGTCATTCTCTGTAAAAATCAAAGAATTTAGGAAAAAGATGGAAATGGTACATCACAGATTTTGCTGATTTTTTGCATGCAATGTAGAAACACCATGTATAGAACATTTTAGGGTTAATTTTTTATTTTGAGTCCCGGTTGCCATGGTAACCAAAACCACCATTTTGAGGCCAAAAATACAGAGCAACCTACGGAAAGTATACCAACTTCATCATAAATTTCTATTTTCTGTATATTATTTACATATTTGATTGTTGTCCACTCTGATAGACTATTTGTTGGAGTAACTACCACAACTAATGAAATTATTCAGTAGTTGGTCATAAAAGAGTTGTGTTCCAGTGAAAAGTGTGAATTTTTCAAAATTTTACAAATTTGAAAAAATGCCAATTTTTGGCATTTTCTAAGCATAGTAGCAAGAAAACGCGGGCAATCCATAACAAACAACTGCCATCACTGAAAAGGCCATTCCTAACTTAACAAAATATAAAATTTCTAGAGAGGTATTATTTCTTAAAATAAAATAAAACGAAAACGAAAATGGTTACTATGGAGATTTTGGATTAATTTGTAGATTCAATATTTGGCTCCTCTTTGTACATCATAACTTTAAAAAGGTCAAAAGTAAAGCAAATCACACTACTAAACATCATAATTTTACAATATTATGATAAATATGTAAGTTCATAAATTAAACAAAAATAATTTGTTACTATGGCAACCAAAAAGTCAGGAAAAATCACTATAGCTAATGACGTTATCATTATGCTGAATCTGTGGCCTCGGTGCATGATTTAATTTCTTCAATTTTAAATAGATAACACTTATTATATTTGTTATTTCACTTATGTACATTTTAAAGAAAAATAAATAAAAATTCAAGCGTCTAAAATCACGTTGCTATGGTAACCAAATAGTTTTTAACACTTCCTTATATTGGTTGTTATCACAAATTTTGTTATGCTGACAAGCATACAACAAATAATATCATAGCTTCATTCATTATTTTTTTCTCTTTTTCAGTAAAATAAATTGAATTTAATTGTATTTCACTAAATATCAAAATAGTAATTCATAATTTATTTTTAAAAATGGTTGCTACGGCAGCCAATAGTTCAGGAAAATCCTTTTCATTGATATGTTTTATATACAAAATCTACTGCTTTATTGCACGATTATGTGTCTTCTTCAATAAAATAAATTCAATAAACTTTGTCATTTCACTAACATGAAAAAGACTATAAATTCATAATTAAAAAAAAAACAGTTGCTATGGTAACCAAATAATTCAGGAATGATCCAAATAAGTATTGATGTACCAGTATACAAAACTCATAGCATTGCCTCCAATGTTTGTTTATACTTCTCCTCAATTTATTTACCGAGACAAAAACAGATGAAGAACTCAAACTTAAACTGACATATATCTGAATTACTGCAGCAGGATTTGTTTCCATGGAAACAATAAATACCGACATAAAATCATGACCAATCTTTTGGAAGCAACTTGCTTTATTAATTGAAACATATATAACATGTTTTAACGTGTGCATGCACTTCTTAGATTAGTTGGACAAGCACATAGTCAAGAGTCCCCCCCCCCCCCCACCCCACCCTCCTCGATTCAACTTGTTTTTGCTGTTATTGAAATGATCTTTTGCTGTTCCTTTCGTTAGGAATCATTATACCACCGCTACGAAGAAGAGGGGGGTATACTGATTTACCTTTGTGTGTCACTCCGTCCGTCTGTCTGTCTCGCTGCCTGTATGTCTGAACGTAGCAAATGTTTGGTTGCAGTTTTCTCAGCAATTACACATGTATCACTATTCACTGAAAATGCTTGAAATTTTAGCACAGTATTTGCTAAAGCATGCATTGTGGCACTGGTGGGTAACATTTGAGTTTCTTAAATCTGATGTCAATTTCCTGTTTATCCGTGTGTCTGTCCGTACCGTACATAAAAAAAAAATGTTGAAGTTTTCCCAGCCGAGATAAGCGTGATTCATACACATTAAGAATGACAATCAAAATTCAGTATGTAATTTAAAGATTTTGTGATTTTGTTCTTCCTCATTAAGGCACAGAGGGTAAAATAAGTATTAGGGAAAGTGCAATTAGATTGAAAGTATATAATTATACAAACCACCGCCACTCTTATTAGTTCCAAAACACTATCCGTAGGGGCTATGCCCCTGGGAGTGAACTCCCTATAAGCTTTTGAAATTCAATCTACAGAGAACCTCATCGATATATGGCAGGAAAAATATAATGATCTGAAATAGTTTTCTGGGGGATTAAAGTGAAGGGGGGGGGGATAAAATGTTACCACCCCTCCTCCAATATGTTACAAAAAAGGGGGGGGGGTGATTTATTTGTATTAGTATTTTTTTTCCAAGTTAAATAACTTGATAAATGGAATACTGAGATGTCCTTATAAAATATGACAAAATCAAATATAATTTTTTTTTCTCTGCTATAATTTGGGCACATAAATCCATTATTTCAACAACGACCATTTTACATATCCCCATTTTCTGCATGCACGTACAATGAACTCCTCTCCACTGAAAATTGACATATTTCCCTATAAACTTTAATGTATTCCTTCATTATATATTGTTTCAGTAAAGTGTACACATTGTATAATAAATTTGGCTTAAATTCAACTGTTGTAGTGTTTGCTATCACAAAAAAATCTTAAATTATATAATAAATTAAATTATTTTTTCTTTGTTGCATAAAATAATCTGATGTTAAAGAAATAAATTCCTAGTACGTTCTTTCATTTTTTTGCAATAACTTCAAGTTCTTAAATGAAAGGGCACATTCATTCACAATCATCGACCCATTCAAAAAAAAACAAACTTGCATCAACAAATTTCAACCCTGCAAAAATTGAAATCTAAGAGAAAATCGCAGTTTTGTCACGTGTTCAGTAACTTCAGTTTAGCGATGTGATTTCATAAGGTCAACCATCTTCGCTAGCCAAGGGTTTCTGATACGCTTCTCTCATGAGGAGAGTAGTGTATCAGAAACCCTTGGCTAGCGAAGATGAAGGTCAACATGTAAAATAAAAATTTCCCTTCACCCAAGGATGCTTTGTACCAAGTTTGGTCAAAATTGGCCCAGTGGTTCTTGAGAAGAAGTCGAAAATGTGAAAAGTTTACAGACGGACAGACAGACGGACGGACGGACGACGGACAAAATGTGATCAGAAAAGCTCACTTGAGCCTTCGGCTCAGGTGAGTTTAAAAAATAAACAATATTATTGTGCCTGGTTTTACTCTTAAAATACTAGTTCACGAAAACCTAGGAGCTTCCGGGGGCTTGGGCCCACTTGGGGCCTTAAGGCGGGCCCCAGACCCACTGCCTAAACAAAGTTATCCACGCTCCCCTTAATCACAAATCCTGTATCCGCCCATGCCTACATACCTTTATTCCAACATATCACGTCACACAAGCATCAAAATCATGGAAGTTAAAAAAAAACAACAACATAAAAATTGCATAAAGTTACATGTACGTTTTTTTTTTTCAAAAATGCTTTATCACTTGCTGATGAAAATTAAAATTATCATGTTTTTACATGTACACTCTTATCAACTATTATTAAAACAATGATATACCCCTTATATAGCTGCAGAACTGTAGCTCTCCGAAAGAATATATTGACAGACCAGAGTCTGTTATCAATCTGGTCATCAATCCCAATTTTTTTTTCAGACCAGCGAGCTACAGATCTGCAGCTACCCCTTAGAGCACCCCTTATTTGAAGAAAATAGGCAGGATTCGAAGATCCCGGAAAATAGTCAATCCCCTTCCCGAGTTTCTACGAAAGTAGCCGTAGATCTGTAGCTCGCTGGTCTGAAGAAAAAAATGGGATGGACGACGATTCGAGATCTAGTTCAATTTTTTCACACAAGAGAGCTACGTATCTGCAGTTATCATCTTATAGATATAGTTTTCCCATTAAGTATTATAGATATCTTAGAAAATATTTTTGTTTTAACGAATTCGATCTGCATGTAGGTAGCCTCTCTGCCCACCTACCCACCCCCAGCTCCATCCGCTTTCTACATGTCTGCATGTATTATAATATTTAGAGTATGTTCTGTTAATAAAAGATGATAAGGAATCAGAATTAAGACTAAATCTCTCAAAATTATACAATTTAAAGCAATTTAAAATCTATTGATTTTAGTCGATATTTTTAGATTGTTCATATTTATACATTGTACGAACAATTAACATTCGCTCTGCTTCTATAGACAACTCTTACGATGAAAATCATTACATCTCCTTCATTTTCACACTCAACAACTATTTCTTTCGGGTGTGGGTGCTCAACTTCCTTGAATAATTTACCTCCTTTTTTTGGACATAAAAATGCAAATTCACTAAATACAAATAACTCTATTTTACAAAGCAGAGGGTGTTTCCATTTCGTAAAGATCCATAAATTTAATTATTTATTTAGTAAAGTTGTAATCTAAACACCTAACGTTAGTTTGTAGGGAATATGTTTGTTGATTACGCGGTTACAAATGCTACGACAACGTGGAGCAAATGTTTATTAAAATCCCAGTCTGCTTTATACTGTTATACAATGTAAACCACGAAACATGAATAAGGAAGTGCACACTTTACAACACACAGAAAGTAATACGACCCTCACAGCACAAATAAAAATGTACTCTGAGTGTAGTCAAGTAAACCATGTACTTACAGGTAATGGAAAAAGTTTAGACAAGGTATTACTTCATTAAGACGAACAAGCATGTAAAACCTTAACTGATTTAAGGTTAGGCCTAAAAGTTTTGTTTAGAAACCCAAATAAATTTTATTCCTGAAAAAAAATCCACTATTTCGAAATCTATATTCTGATTTAGTTTTAAAAAACTGACCAAAAGAGGTAAATTTCTGTTGTTACTTACAGGAAAGTAGGTCACTGTCCATTTCTACCTCACCCGAGGGAAGTCCAATTGTTTAATGACCATTCAATAGATACTGATTCAATCAGCGTGTCAATATTTGTGGTATGTAAATTGACACGCATGACTTACCAAGCGAGCTAAATACCGGGCGGGTGTGTGGCCGGAATCACTTAATGTCGATTTAAAACGTTTACACGACATGCGAAGTGCGACTGAGAAATCCCTTTTGTTTATACGCGACAAAAGAAATCTGTATCGGGTATTTTCTTAAGAGATTTATTTGCAAACAATAAACTAAAACTGATACTAGGTCCTACCTCATAATGAATGAAATTTTTACCCATACTGATGGATATCAAAACTCCGATCGCTGACTAGCAAAGGTGATTTCCCCTGCACATACTAGAAATCATTAAATTATCAAACTAGCAAAGGCAACATTCAAATCCAAAAAAAAATATCTAAAAAAGAAGATTTATAAATGATGGCACCTACCTCCATCATGTTATGACGTCATGATGATGACTTCAACAAAGGGAGAACACAAGCTATTAAATAAGGGGATCCGATATGTACATGTATTTATAAGTATACTTTCATGATTAATCTAAACGACAGTTCAGTTCATAATAAAGAGAACAATTGAAATGAAATCAAACGACCTCAGTCTAACATCAGTATTAACCATGGATTGGTATAGCAAGTTTCTGTGCCCTAGCCTACATCAGTACATGCAAGACAAAACTAGGCCTATATAGATCTCTATTGTCAACATGTGAGATTTTCAGAAGGAAATAAACGTGCTGAGGACCGTCCTTGTATCTCAGACTATGTAACTCTGGCAATATACAAGGATACAAAAAATCCAGGAAATCCGTAATCTTTGCCAATTAATTGTATATTCATAAAATGTTAAATTGAACATTTTGATCTATATTTCGACGGACAACTTAAACCCGGAATGGACATTTTTCCGAACTTGCGCACCCTTTTCCTTTAAAGCTATCATCTTAGGGGTTTTTTTTAAATGGTGGGGTTTTTATAATCAAATTGATTTATGAAAAAAAAAATTCAACATTTTCTGCTAGTTTTTGAGATATTTGAGTTCAAAAACAAAAATCCCATGGGGAAACATGAACTTAAAAATACCCCACAAAAAACCCCACAAAAACCCCATGGGGTTTATTTTTCACCCCATGGGGGAAATAACCCCACGAAAATCAATGTAGGTTTTTTAAACCCATATGTTGCTTATATTGTCATATGGGGTTTTTTCTCCCACGTTTCTTTATCATGGGGTTTTAAATCCCATGTATTGATATATTTACTGTAAGATAATTCCTAAAAACTTGGGTTTTTTTCTTAGACTAATGGATCATTAGTATCTTCTCTGTTTCTCATTTTATAAAAGTGGATAGTTATAACAAATATCTATTATTTTTCAAATTTTCAAGTATTCATTCTTCAAATTTTTGCTTATGTAAAAGAAGATTTATATGAAAACAGGTTTCTAAGGCAGTTGCCTCCCAAAATGAAACATTCATCATAAAACTCTTCACAGATTATTTGATCGATGACCATTAATCTGAATATTTAAAAAAATGAAACAAGAAAATTTAATACCAACACAATAGCAACCAATTCACAGTGTCCAAAGAGGGTCTCTTTCCTTAACTAATGTATATTTATATATGTTAGGTTTATATGATGTCTAGTTTGTGGATTTTTTTTAAATCTCCATTCCCCTTGCATTCACCACTAATAAGATTGGATTTATTTAATTCATGTGCAATATATCTACATATTTAATTAATGGAACTCAATTCAGTTATATATCACAAAGTACAACTATTAAAATCTTTTGATTCACCCAAATATTTAAAAATAAAATATTTATGCCTCTTGGATCCACCACTTATCAGTTTAGATCATGACCACACATGACATATAATCTTAATGCTTAAAATCAATCAGCCATATCAAGGATATTAATGACTATGGCATAGTCATTAATATCCTTGATACACCACAAATATTTCTTTAAAAAATGAATATCCACTCCCCATGGATCCACCACTAATAAGTTAAGTTCTTGATCACACATGACATGTAAGATTAAAGTTTGAAATAAATTAGCCATAATCATTATTATCCTTTTACCCACCACAAATATTTAAAAATAATATCCGCTCCCCTTAGATCCACCACTTTTAAATTAAGATCATGTTCACACCTGACATAAAAGCTAAATGTTTGAAATAAATTAGCCATAATCATAAATCATTAATATCCTTTGATCATTCACAAATATTTAAAAAAGATAAATATCCACCCCCCTTGGATCCACCACTTATGAGTTTTGATCTTGATCACACATGACATATAAGTTTAATGTTTGAAATCAATTAGCCGGAATCAGTAATGTCCTTTTACCCATCACAAATATTTAAAAATAATATCCACTTGCCTTGGATCAACCACTTTAAAATTAAGATCACGAGCTAAATGTTTGAAATAAATTAGACATGATCACAATTCATTAATAACCTTTGATCAAACACAAATAATTAAAAAAGATAAATATCCACTCCCCTTGGATCCACCACTTATAAGTTTAGATCTTGATCACACATGACATATAAGCTATATGTTTGAAATCAATTATCCATAATCATTATTATCCTTTGACCTATTACAAATATCTATCTACTCCCTTTACATCCACCACAACTCTTATGGGATCCACCGCTCATAAATTTAGACTATAATAATACATGACTTATAAGCTAAATGTTTGAAATCAATTAGCCATAATCATAATTAAAAAAGATGAGACAAATATCTCATGTCGCTTTGTCTTAGGTAAATGAGAAAAGCAATAAACGAACGAAAATATTACAACCTACAGTATTCCCTTAGATCCGCCATCATGTCTTTAGATATTGATCACCAATCTGATTTATTCTTCTTTTTTTATCATTAGGTTAGGTATCTTTATTATTTTTATGAATGAATGAATATTATGAAAAATGAAATTAATTGCATCTCTATGCTACTCTGTCTGAATAAAAAAAAAGCTGAAATAACCACTTAATATCAGCCAAAAAAGCAGGTACAATGAATATGATTAAATAAGACAACATATACATTGTATACATGTACTACGCCTTTACGGTACCTTATTTACTACTAGTAATTTTTTTAAGTTTATACCTGTCATCAACCAGCTCGACTGTTAAATCTACATTGGATAACGAATCAATTTAGGCTTTACATAGATCATGTACATTATAATTATTAGTAATATATAATTGGAATTCATCGAAAATTCTTTGGTTTCTAATTAGAAAAAAAGAAGTTCTGAAATTATTAAAACTAAATTTTCATCCTGCAAGGTGCAGTCAGGCAATATTGATCTCATTCTGACAATATCACTTTTTTTCATTGAAATAGATCTACATGTATGTCAAACATGATATTTCTTTTTCTTATGATACTTAAACTTTCTAACTATAAACTAAATTATTGTAAGAAGACGTTTATTTTTACAGAAAGCATCTATATGCATTATCAGGTCAAGGTCAGTCAATCCCTTTTGATGAGTTCTTTTGATTTTTGTCCCCCACCTTAGCGAATAAGAGAGGACATTAAATCTTATTCATCTGTCATCTGTTAAATGGTCAGCTTATCAATGTCACAAAAACTTAAACTTTGGTCATATCTTTTGAATGAGATGAGATAGGGCTTTCAACATGTTCAAATTATACATGTATTACCTGTGCGAATTATTCCTTTCTTAATACAGATTACACTATCATGATTTTTTACCATTATATCTTGACCTTGAAGTATGACATACTTTTCATAAATATTAATTCTTCCTTATGACTTTGATTTAGAAGAGATAGATTTTTCATATGTCTGTTGCAAGATATTTCTGAGCATGCTATGATTTCTGACCCCTTGACCTTTATTCATGTTTGACCTAATTAGAAAAAAAAAACTTTGGAGCTACAGTAACTCTTCAATAAGGTATTTCCATACATATCGTATGATTGGTACTTTGTTTTCAAAGTGATAATTTTTGGTTCACAGTTTTTTAAAAGGAAAATAGAAATTTCACATCTATATCACTGCAGTTGTTAAGATCCACCCTTGTGAGTACCCCATAAAAGTACATGCAGGGATTAATTATTGAACTCATTCGCACAGACCTTATGTTATAGAATCCATAAATAAACTGAACTTGAACTTGATTAACCTTAGACAGGCACAATGTGACATACCCTACTGATACATGGGACACCCTGACAGATATTCCTCCTCCCTAAATTGACTGTTGAGTAAGACTAAGAAAACTAATAAAAGTTATATTAATTTTTGACCATGTATATTCCTCTAATATCTATCATATAGAGCTTGATTCCGTTTTGCAAGAAATAACCCCCAAATTCATAGCATGCTAATACTTACATCACTGACATGTAAACAAAACTAATTCCTTCAGACACTGACTGACAGCAGAATTCCAATTGGACATTTTGTGATGTTAATGGAATAATTCACACACGCCAAATCAATCAGACTGATTTAAATACTTGCGTGAATTAATCCTTGTTAAAATAAAGTTCTTAATTCCATCATTAGGCCTGTACATCCAGACAGGTGGTCTTCTTCCTTTCCGCTCTTCTGTAGTGTGACTAAAATGGGTAGCGAAACCCGGGCCGGGCCGGCCGGGAATTTCGAAACTGAAAACCGGGTTTTTGACAATAATGAGATGAATACACATTATTTCTTCATGAAATTTACGGACATAGTTTATTACTATAAGATTTGCCTTCGCTGACAGTTTTGAATTAAAATGTTATGTTTATCCATCATTATCGCCGATTGTCCTTTTCAAGGTGACTAAAATGGGTAGCGGGCCCGGTTTACTCATTTTAGCGATTTACACTTAATTAATTTCGGTAATTATATTTACAATTATTTCCGTTAGATCTTTGTAATTCAACTTAAACTATTTAAAACATCTTATATTTGTTGTAATATATCCCGATTATTAATTAAGCGAAGCGTTTCAAATTACTAAAGTGCCGAATACATGATGACCCACCTGAAGTAGATCTTTAGATATTTTATCATTCATTCATTCATTCATTCATTCATTCATTCATTCATTCATTCATTCATTCATTCATTCATTCATTATTTTCATTCATTTATTATTCATTTATTTATTTATTTATTTATTTATTTATCAACACATGATTAATCCACCGTTACAAGCATAAATATTAGGCCTAATGATGTAGATCGATATATTTTTTCATTCATTATTCATTCATTCATTAGTTAATTCATTCATTCATTCATTCATTCATTCATTCATTCATTCATTCATTCATT